GGACACAACAGGCTTATGCACCACAACAGCCCCGAGATATGACTTCTGCATTACAGTAGCCAATAAGCACCCAGTTCAAAATTAGTGCGAATATGAGAAGGACGAAGGTATTACATTCTCAAAAACAGAAATTGCTGGAAAAGCTCAGCAGGTCTGGCAGAACTGAGTTCTGGGGAAGGGTCAGTCGACCTAAAACAGATTTCTCTCCACAGAAGCTGCCAAACCTGCTGAACTTTGCAAGCAATTTCTGTTTTTGTTTCTGATTTACAACATCACAGTTCTTTTGGTTTTTATCAGTTTTTACATCTATGGGTTCTGTTTTCATTTTAAGTAATAAAAGGCAGATAACAATGCTAGACTCTTTAATTACTGCCCCAAATCTCATTTTGACTAAACATGCCAAATGTGTATTCAGCATCGTCTCCTTCATGCAAAGCCTTTTGCAGTTATGCTCCCCTGGAGGATGCGAGTGGAAAACCAGTTGGAAAGAAGGAAGAGAGATAACAAGGTGTAACGCTGGATGAACACAGCAGGCCAAGCAGCATCAGAGGAGCAGGAAGGCTGGCGTTTCGGGTCCGGACCCTTCTTCAGAAACTTCTTCCTGCTCCTCTGATGCTGCTTGGCCTGCTATTTTCATCCAGCTCTACACCTTTTTATCTCAGATTCTCCAGCATCAGCAGTTCCCACTATCTCTGGAAAGAAGGAAGGATTTGCATTTGGATCATTGCTATAGGATGTTACAAAGCACTTCACAGTCAATGAAGTACTTGGGAGGGTAAGTCACTGATATAGGAAACAAGGCAGCGGCTGTGTGCACGGCAAGATCACACAGGCAGCGATTAATCAAGAGCCAGATTATCTCTCCCAGTGATGTTGCTGATTGTCTAAATATTAACCAGAGCACCGGAGGAGAACCCACATGCTTTTCTTCAAAATAATGCCATGCCAACTTTTACATGTACCCGGAGGGCAGGCAGGGCCTCTGTTTAATGTCTCTGATGGAGTTCCGATCCCTTAGTACTGCCTGGATTTTCGTGCTCATGTCTTGAGAGTGGGTTTTCAAACTTGTGAGCCAGCGGCCAGAACTGTTATCCACTGATCCATAGTTCGCACAGTAAGAGGGCACTTCACTTACATAAAAGAATTAATTAGGTTGAGTTCCAGTTATCATTCTGTTGTTCAGTCCAGGGATTAAAGGCTGCAAAAAGCTATTTCCTGTGTTTGCTTCTGTCCTTGTTGCCAAGGGTAGCTTTAGACCAGGCTCATGGCTAAAGCACTGCAGTGGTTTGCTGTTGCCGTCTGCACCATATCTTCACTCACTTGCCTTCAGCCAAAGGGAACGACTTTATTGCTTTCTTTTTGTAGAATCCCTGCAGTGCGGAAGCAGGCCATTTGGCCCATCGAGTCCACACCGACCTTCTGAAGAGTATCCCACCCAGACCCACCCCTCTACCCTATATTTTCCAAGGCTGACCCACTATAACTTACACATCCCTGGACGCGCGGACAATTTCGCATGGCCAACCCGGCCTAACCTGCGTATCTTTGGACTGTGGGAGGAAACCATCGCAGTCACGGGGAGAATGTGCAGACTCCACACAGACAGTCGCCTGAGAGTGGAATTGAACCCGGGTCTGTGAGGCTGCGGTGCTAATCAGTGAGCCACCGTGCTGCCTACACTATGCTGATTTACAGACTTAAAAGTCCAGCGGTTCAACCACAAAAACACCTTCCACAGCCGGCAAGTTCTGCGCTGGGCTTCAAACGCAGAGTGTTTGACTCCTGTAGGGATGCCTGTGACTATAGAACCAGACCCCAACGAAGTGTTACAGCTCAGCGAGGAATATCCTCAAATGCTATCTTAGGTCAAAATTGCTTTTGTTGCTCTAAACTGGAGAATCAGTATCATTGTGTTACTGGTATAGCTCCTCTTGGTATTACCCTGAGTTGCTAAAACACTGACATTATTCTGTGAAGGGTGGGACTATATTTTCATTCATTCACTTGATGAGAGCATCCCTGGCCAGACCAGGCTTTATTGCTCACCCCTAGAGGGCAGTTAAGAGTAACCACATTGCTGTGGGTCTGGAGCCCCATACAGGCAAGGATGATAGTTTTCGTTCCTGAAGGACGCAGGTGAACCAGACGGGTTACCCCCCACCCGACAATTGGCAATGTATTCATGATTATCATAATTCTCTTAATTCCACCATCTGCCGTGGTAGGATTCGAACACAGGTCTTGGGAACATTACCTGGGTCTCTGCATTTACAGTCCAATGATCATACCACCTGACTGTCACCTTCCTTTTGGGGTGGGGGGAAGGGAACTGGAGAGCTGGTAAGGGATTACAGAGTACCTAGACCTACAGGCTTACGCAGCGAGCTAGGGAGCCATTTGGACAAAAAAGAGAGTAACAGATTTCCACTAACTCTTTGTGTGAAGAAATGCTTCCTGACATGGCCTTTGAATGGCTTGAGCCTAAGTTTAAGGTTATACAGTCTTGATCACGAGCACTATTTCCCACCTCCGCCCCCCCCACCCCACCACCTCACCACCTCACCATCCCCCACTCACTCTCAGGAAATAGTTTCTTTTTATCCTATGAAAAACTTTAACATTTCAAACACTTTAATCACATTGCTCCTCAATCTTCCATACTGCATGATGAACAAGGAGTGTACAACTTAGTTTCATAGATAACAAGGTGTAGAGCTGGATGAACACAGCAGGTCAAGCAGCATCATAGGAGCAGGAAGGCTGACGTTTCGGGCCTAGACCCTTCTTCAGAAATAGTTTCATAGTTTAGTCCATGAATCTCCACAATGACCCCCTCAATACCAGCATGTCCTTCATGAAGTGTCATACCCAGAACTGAAGATTTTTATTCCAGTTAATGTCTAACGAAAGCTGTATAGAACGAGATGAAATAGCTGCTCTCCATTTAGACTCTTAAAAAACCTCAGTCATTTTAAACACTTCAGAATGTAATCCATTTTGTGAATAACATTCAGATGCTTTGACATAAGAAGATTCTGTCTGATAAGTGCAGTTTTGTGTTGTAACAGGATGTACCAGGGATTGTGAAAATTTACACTTTTAACGAGCTACGGCAGATCCTCAGAGAGAAGCTTTGGCAGCATTTCCATTCATTCCCACCTTTCATGAAAGTGTCTCAACACATTTTAGTTAATGCAGAACACCATCCCTTTTGTCTCTTTGGCTGCTAACTTCTGCAATGTCGAGTGCTCTGTGCTCAGTCTTTGGGTCTCTGCAGTGGTCCTTTCTACCTCATAGATTTGCATGCGGCGGCAGTATATTAAAGAATATAGCAGCTGTGGTGGGAAGACTTGTCAAGCTCCAGGATGGTCAAGTCGAAATCGAGTTCACTCCTATTTCTGAGCGGCTGCTGCTCACTGAATGACTTGCACAGCATCTAATGTTACTGACTTGTACAGATCAAAATAGATGCATTTGCATTTATCTGGCAGGCTCCAGGACTTGCCACCGTGTTTCACAGCTGATGAACTACTTTTTTGAAATGTGCTCCCTATTGTAGTGAAAGGTGGTTGTCAGTTTGTATTTGGTAGGGTAGAAATGGTGCCAGGCATTCATGTTGGCTTGGAGCCACGTTTTATATTTCTTTTGAACTTGACTCCACTGCCCCCACCATAAAGTCCTACCACCCATTTTGCTGTCTAGAGTCACATTGCCCTGTCCGGTTGATGATCATAGATCATAGAATCCCTACAGTGTGGATGGTAGTTTGAAATTCTAAATATTATTTTTGAATTTGAACTAGCGGCATATGAATTTCCTATGTGTCTAAAGGAGTTTAATGATTGAGTTGTGAGTATTTCTGTACACATATTGATTCATTTTTAAGCACGTTCAGGAGAAGGTAGTTTTGGAGACCAGTGCAAATTTGTTTACATTTTGGAGAGTTTACAAGTGAACAAAGCAAGCAGTGTACTACATTAGCTTTCTGGTAGAAGATTCCAGGTTTTGTTTTTCATAGGCTTAGGAGAAATAGTCATAGCTTGGAGAAACAGATTTTTTTGTATTTTTGGTTTGGGTAGCTCTGCAGTGTTCTTAGTTGAAGATGGATGTGTAAAGCAATTGCTTCTGAGAAAGGGAAAAGATAACTTAAAATTGATAAAAATAGGTTATCTTAGTGTAAAGTGGTCTGCAATAGTTCCAGACCAGAAGTGTTTAATTAAAATCCTGAAGAGAAATTGAGAAAGTTTAAGCTCAGTTGTATGATGATTGAAGGAAGAGGTTATCAAATTCTCACAAACAGGAATTGAAGCCACTGATAAGTCAAATCCTGCGTGAGATAGAGAAGGCCATACTCTCTGGTGTTTAAGTCTGGGATGCTGTTGGGATTAATGGGATTGTATTTTTTGTTTCAAAATCTTTAAAGATGCATTATATGTAAATAGTTTGATTTATTTTCTTTTATCCTCATTTGTTTTGTGTAAATAACTTCTGTTTCATTGTTAAAATGAAATCTGCAATATTACGTGCTTGTGTTTTAGTGAGAAGCCACCTTATTAAAACAAAAAGAAGAAAAAAAAATCCATCAAGTAAGCTTACAATCTGCAATCTGAATTGTCCATAACCAGATCAGCTGGAATCATAACAGTACACAGCAGCCAAAAGCTGAAGGAAGTGATCTTGCCAAGGCTCCAGGGTTAAGGTATGGGTCAGGCCAAACTTTATTTTGTCCTTCAGAACTGTTCACATAGATAGATGGGAATTGTAAAGTTGAACCCAGGAGTCATTGCAGATTAGCAAACAGTGAGGACACGGGTCATGGTACAAAGATAGGAATCAGGCGACAGGGTTCGAACCTGCTTAATGTTTGCATTTTGGTCAACTAACATATAGTTCAAGCAGAAAATGCACAGGCAAAATAATTCATGCCTCTGCAACGATGTGCAGTACTACTTCGCGGCAAGCCAATCTTGACTTTTTTTTATTGTGTGTTTTTGACACAGGAACTTTTCACGGCAGAGTGCAAGTTCAAAGAGTCGGTCTTTGAGAACTATTATGTCATCTACTCCTCAACTCTATACCGGCAGCAGGAGTCAGGTCGAGCCTGGTTCCTGGGACTCAACAAGGACGGCCAGGTCATGAAGGGGAACCGAGTAAAGAAAACCAAGCCTTCCTCCCATTTTCTACCAAAACCAATCGAAGGTAGACTTCTTCTTTTACTTGTGACTGTGAAGCGTGTGAGGTTTGGTGATAGTCTGGTTGGGAAAATGGGATCAATAGTTCCTGATGTTCTCATAACCTCAGAACCATTTCCTGTGAATACTCAGCTCTACTTTGGGCGAGCAAATCTTCCTTTCAGAACCCCACCCCTCCTTGCTCGATCACATGTACTGTCATTCACTGATAACATTGAGAGCATGTTAGACTTCATAGAGTGAACCTTATTTATTGCTCTTAGCAGACAAACATAGCTTTTTTGCTTTTTCTTTCATATCCAGAAGTGTTCTTAGATACAACTGAACTTTTTTTTCCCCATCTGTTAACCACCGCCAGTAAATCAGCTGTGTTTTCCAAGTGAGTAATTTACATGAAAACAAACTTTTGTTCAGTTTATTACCTCATTTAACCAGATTCACCTGCTCACCTGATTTGGATTAATTGTTTGAATTCAGACAAACAACCCAAATAGGAGTCCCAGGGGTGAGGGGCTTCAATCATGTGCAGAGGTTGGAGAAGCAGGAAGCACTTTCCTTACGGCAGAGAACGTTGAGGAGCGACAATTATCAGGGTAGTTTGCTGAAACTTGTTGAGAAAAATGGTTTCCTTTGACGAGAGGATAATGTGAATAATTGGCAAAAAAAAAACTCAAAGGGAAATGAGGAGAATGGTCATTAAGCTCAACCTGAAACTGGGGATCACATTCAATGGGATATTTCAACAGACAATTAGGCATGGCAATGAAGAAATTGCAGTGTTTTTGAGAACAAGCCTGGATAAGGACTAAATTAGACAGCTCTTTGAAAGAGCTAGCACAGGTACACTGGCTAACGGGCCTCATTCTTGCTGTAAGACACTATCGTTCCATAACTCTAGATAGGCCTGGACGTTTCATCACCTGACCTCCAGGCACTGACTACACTCCCACTAATGGTTGCTTGACATGTCTGATTGCTCCCCCTTCCACCCAAAATCAAAGTATAAATATGATGGTTTATTCAGTGCCTGCCAAACAGCCTTCTTGTCCTGCCTGCCATTGTTTTTATGAATCGTTGTTTGGTAGGACAGAACTGGAGTATTGCTGAAACGTTGCATTTTCTACTCATCAGGACAATTTGCAAGAATACCAATTCAAGGGGCAGCATGGGGCCAGATTATCCAAGGAATGGCAACCCCCGCATGCAGTTTGCCACAGCAGTCCTTCCTTTTTTACAGGGGAAAGGAGCTCTATATTTCTCAAAGGAGATTCCGTTCAGGGCTCCCTCAGAAATGCAGAGCTGGACTTCCGTTCTGAAAGTACAGAGCAATCAGAGGAAGACAAACCGCGCCCCTTTCTCACAGCGGCGGGCTCGAGGGAACAGATGGCTCGGGCCGATGATAGGTGTGCAGGGACAGGGCTGGTGGTGGCAGCATGGTGGGAGGAGGGTTCGGCTGGAAATCGGGGAGTCATGTCAGGCTGCGGTGAGGAGAGGCCTTAGAGATCCTGGAAGGTGGGGTCGGGGGCAGTGGGGAGAGGGGCTGGGGAGTCCTGGTGGGTAGGGTCAGGGACAGTGGGAAGAGGGGCTGGGGAGTCCTGGAGGGTCAGGTTGGGGCAGTGGAGAGAGTGGTTGGTGGGTCCTGGGTTTGGTACAGAGGGCGCTGGGGAAAGGGCTTATGGGGTCCTGGAGGGTCAGGGCAGGGCGTGGTGGGGAGAGGGGTTAGGGGGGTGCTCGAAGGTCGGGTCAGGCAGTGGGGGTGGGAGGAGAGGGGTTAGGGGGTTCCTGGAGGGTCGGGTCAGGCAGTGGGGGTGGGAGGAGAGGGGTTAGGGGGGTCCTGGAGGGGGGGGTCAGGCAGTGGGAGTGGGAAGAGAGAGGTTGGGGGTTCCTCGAGGGTCTGGTCAGGCGCTGGGGGTGGGAGGAGAGGGGTTAGTGGTGTCCTGGAGGGTCGGATCAGGCAGTGGGGGTGGGAGGAGAGGGGTTAAGGAGTCCTGGAGGTGTGGGTCAGGCAGTGGGAGTGGGAAGAGAGGGGTTAAGGAGTCCTG